GGCTCCAGCAAGGCCCCGCGCCGGTCGGCCATCATGTCGAGTTAGCGGGGTCTGAGTGTGGTCGGTGCCCTCGTTTTTTTGTACTAGTTTTATTATATGTTATTATTATTGTTGTTCTTATTATTTCTGCTTGCCTCGCGTTGTGTAGCGGGCTGCGGTTGATCCCGCTGTTTTCATTGCTCGCCCAGTTCACCTGTGCCGAGACGGGCTCGCCAGACGGCGTGCAGGCGGAAGATGGAAAATGGAAAGTTTCGGTCGCTGGAGTGACCAAGCTCAGAAAATTCAGACAATCTTCCACTGCTTGTCCGTTCAACACCCATTCGCCACCCCGTAGTTTGAGTTGCGGCATGGTCCAACAGGCGTATCGACGTGAACGTGGACAGTTCCTGTTTGTTTTCTTCTGTTGCGATGCCTCGTGCCTTGCATGCTTACATTGTATATTCATATTCAATGTTGGGAACAAGGGGAGATGATTAGGAGCAAACAACAGCAACTTCCAATTGGGCAGCGTGTTTTTCTTGGAATCAAGGATTTATACAAAAAGGGAACTGCATCATGTCCGCGTAGGCAATTTAGCTGGGGGGCGTAGGCGCACGGAGGCATCGCGTAGGCATTTCGCGCACATCCTTCTTGCGTAGCCGCGCGCGTAGGCACTTGATGCAGTTGTTATGTGTTGTCTGAAGCTTTATGCTTTACAATGCTAGCAGCCAGATCCTTGGACAGATGTTGGCTTCTCACTTGTACTGCATTTCTGATCTTAGAGCCGGAGCTGCTAAAACTGCACTTGCACTGGAAAGTTGCGATTTCCAGCTGGAGCTGCCACAGTGCACTTGGACACTTGAACTCAACGTTTGCCCGCGTAGGTGGGCACCTGGAAGCTGACTTGTGATCGCGTAGACGCCCCTCGCAGGCCGCGTAGGCTTGCGTAGGCCTTCGCGTAGGCGCGCAAGTAGTGTACAGGCCCTGAACCGCTGATTCAGGGCCACGACAAAGGGGATCCCTGGAAAATCAAACATGTTATCACGCTTTGGCGGGTGCAATCATCTTCCACATCATCTGCTTCTTCTACATCATCTGCATCTGTGTCAGACAACGATTGACTTGGCGTTGCAAAGCTCGAGCTGGAAAAAAGCGGCGCGCGATTTACTGTCGCGGAGGCGTTGCGTAGGCACTCGCGTAGGCATGTGTGCAGTGTATAGGCCCCGAGCACCAACAAAAAAACACTACCCAACTAGACCACGGTTGGCCCGAAAGCTAAGTTGCTCTGCGCAAGTTTCTCTGCGCAAGTTGCTCTAGGCAAGGCGCTCTGCGCAAACTGGTCGGTGCAAGTTGGTCTGCGCAAGTTGCTCTGTGCAACTTGCTCTGCGCAAGTTGCTCTGCGCAAGTTGCTTTAAAATGCAAGTTGCATCTTGCGACGCCCGCCCGCGGACCAGGGAGGAATCGAACCCGCGACCCGCCGGTTCCGGGAGCAGGCGCTCGAACCACGAGACAACTCCCGAGGACCAGTTCGAACCACAAAAGACGCAAAAAACCTCGAGTTTTTGCACCTCGACCACGCCGAGGGTTGCGCGAGCGCCGCAGACATTGAAAACCTCGAGTTTTTGCACCTCGACCACGCCGATCCCCGCAGAGGGTTGCGCGAGCACCGCAGAAATCGCAAAAAACCTCGAGTTTTTGCACCTCGACCACGCCGATCCCCGCAGAGGGTCGCGCGGGAACTTTAGAAATCGCAAAAAACCTCGAGTTTTTGCACCTCGACCACGCCGATCCCCGCAGAGGGTCGCGCGGGAACTTTAGAAATCGCAAAAAAACCACGAGTTTTTGCACCTCGACCACGCCGATCCCCGCAGAGGGTCGCGCGGGAACTAGAAATCGCAAAAAAACCATGGGTTTTTGCACCTCGACCACGCCGATCCCCGCAGAGGGTCGATTTTCGTGTAGTGTCGTCGGCACTACCCCGCCGCCCTAAGAAGAGATTTTACCTCCTCGCAAGTCAATTGCACTTGACTCCTGCACTTGCAACTTGCACTTGACTCCTTGCTTGTTTCATGGAGTCATTGCAAGGAGTCATTGCAAGGAGTCATTGCAAGGAGTCATTGCAAGGAGTCATTGCAAGGAGTCATTGCAAGGAGTCATTGCAAGGAGTCATTGCAAGGAGTCATTGCAAGGAGTCATTGCAAGGAGTCATGAGAGCATTGCAAGTGCAAGGAGCCAAGTGCATGGAGTCAAGTGCAAGTCAAGTGCAAGCCCAAGTGCTGGAGTCAAGTGCAGTGCAAGTGTCAAGGAGCCAAGTGCAAGGAGCAAGTGCATGGAGTCAAGTGCAAGTTGCAAATTGCAAGGAAGTCAAGTGCAAGTTGCAATCCTTGCAATGGCTCCTTGCAATGACTCCTTGCAATGACTCCTTGCAATACTCCTTGCAATGACTCCTTGCAATGACTCCTTGCAATGACTCCTTGCAATGACTCCTTGCAATGACTCCTTGCCATGACTCCTTGCCATGACTCCTTGCAATGACTCCTTGCCATGACTCCTTGCAATGACTCCTTGCAATGACTCCTTGCAATGACTCCTTGCAATGACTCCTTGCAATGACTCCTTGCAATGACTCCTTGCAATGACTCCTTGCAATGACTTTCATGATGATGATTCCTTGCAATGACTCCTTGCAATGACTCCTTGCAATGACTTTCATGATGCTGATTCCTTGCAATGACACCTTGTAATGACTCTCATGAGAACAACTCAAGTGAACCCAGCGGAAGAACCCTTCGCCATGCTTTCGGGAATTTGCGTGGGGAATTCGTTTCACCACCAAAAAAGCTTAAGGGTAATTAAGGCAGCTTGATGCGCGTGCCGAAAGGGGCTTAGGGGCATCTAAGCAAGAATGAGTCTTGGCCGCCAATTGGAAGGGGCTTGAATTGTTTTCCGGGAAAAACTTACCTATGAAACCGCCTATTCTGCACGAGCAAAATACGCTGTTCTGAGCGCCCAAATTCTGCTCACATTTTGGCAGATTGGGCTTGCAATTGCGGCAATTGCAAGTTTTCACAAAGAAAGCAGTGACCTGCAACAAATCCTGCATGGGCACATTTTTTAGGGTTTTGGCCACACACAACATAATACGGAGCAGAACGTTGAGGCCCCAGGTTCCCGTGAACCAACTCCGAACAAGCTCCGAACAAACTCCGAACAAACTCCGAACGAACTCCGAACAAACTCCGAACAAACTCCGAACGAACTCCGGACTCCGAACGAACTCCGAACGAACTCCAACCGAACTCCGAGCAAACTCCGGACAAACTCCGAACGAACTCCGAACGAACTCCGAACGAACTCCGGGCGAAGCGAGCAAGCTCCGAGCGAACTTTGGCATTGTTCCCGAGCCAACTCTGAACACACTTTGGCCGTCCCTAAGTATTTTTTTGAGCCTGAGTATTTTGGTGGCCAAGCTGTTTTTTTCCGTGTTTCTGGGCTTTCCAAAAGAGGCCATGATTACAGGGGCCAGTTTCAACAAGTGGCCTGGGAAGGTGCTTTTTGAGGCAAACAAACATGTTCTCAGGCCACTTGTTGAAATTAGTTCTTTTGGTCACTTGATTTTCCTGTTATGCATCTTTCGGGCTGGATTTACCTCCCGGACAAGCGCCAAACAAACTTTGGCCATATGTTTCTTTGGGGGAGCTGATTTTTGTGTTTCGACCTCAAGTTTTAGTTTTTCGGCTTTGTTTTGTTTTTTTGCTCGTTTTTTTTCAGGCTTTGATTTTTGCTTATGATTTTTGTCGGGGCTTAATTCTTGCCCCGGACGAACTCCGAACGAACTCCGAACGAACTGTGGCCTTAAACAATTTTTGGAGCTTATTTTTTCTTTAGGTGTTGAACTTTTTGGGTTTTGGTCGTGCAAAAACACTGGAATTACAGCTTGGTGAGGCGTTTTTCGTACAAATTCCGTTTTACCAGAGCAAAAACAACATTGAAATCATGCTTAATCCAGGTTAATCATGCAAAAAAACAGCTATTTCATACAACCAAAATCGGGCAAGCCCTTACAAAAAAGCGGGCAAACCCTTAAGTTCAACACCGGTGTTGAATTTAAGCTCTTGTTTTTGAATAAGGTTTTTTGCCCGGATCAAGTCTTGATCAAAAAGAGTAAGCTTTGCTTCAGCTTCAACAGCGAGAAATCCAGCCCTGAACGCCTTCCCAGGCCACGTGTTGAAACTGGCCCCTGTTATCGCTTGGCCTCTTTTGGTAAGCCCGAAAAACAACAGTGGCTCAAACACATACTTATGGCCAAAGTGTGTTCGGAGTTTGCTCGGAGTTTGTTCGGAGTTCGTTCGGAGTTCGTTCGGAGTTCGTTCGGAGTTCGTTCGGAGTTCGTTCGGCGTTCGGAGTTCGTTCGGAGTTTGTTCGGGAGTTTGTCCGGAGTTGGTTCACGGGGAGCCTGGGGCCTCTGAGAAACGCCTACCAAGAAAAACAGTTCTGCTCCGCATTATGTAGTGTGTGGCCAAAGCCCATGCAGGATTTGTTGGAGGTCACTGCTTTCTTTGTGAACACTTGCAATTGCAAGCCCAGAATCTAGCCAAAACGCGAGCAGAATTTGGGCTCAAGAACAACACACTTTGCTCTTATAGTGAAGTTTTTCCCGAAAAACAGTTCAAGCCCTTTCCTCTTGGCGGCCAAGACTCATTTCTGTTTAGACGACCAAAAACCCCTTTCAGCAGGCGCGTCAAGCTGTCTTACCCCGAAGGCTTAGCGCGCAAAACCGGCCTGGTCCCCTCCCAAAAAATCAAATTGATTCTTGTTTGGAGGAAACTGGCATCAATAGTACACTTTGAGGTTTGCTGCAAAATCTGTGTTGTTTTGGTTTTGGCAAACCCTTAAGTTTGAGTAAAAAACCCTTGTTCTTTTTTAGGACCTTAAAACACCCAAATCCGGAACGAACTGACCTGACCCATGAAATTCGGCAACAGCAACCAAACAACGATTGAATGGCCGGCAACGCCTAGGATGGCAACCGTCACCCACTGGACGGTCGAAGACGTGGCCGCCTGGATTGAACAGTGCCTGCGCTTGCCGTACGCGCGCAAGTTCGTTGAGGCGACGGCGCTTCGAAACGTGCAAGGGCATGTTCGTTTGATGCAGCGCGGTGACGCTTGCCTTCAGGCTGGCATTGACGGAGTTCAACTTGTGCACCTGACGCAAGATGGCCTTCTGAAAATGGGAGTCGACAGCGAGGAGCATGTCAAGTGTTTGCTCTGGCCTTGGTCTGTCTGCTGCCATGTCGGGCAGGCTTGGCTTTGCATAGGTTGGACCATGCTGCTGTGCTTCGATTTCAGCACGGGCCTTGGCTGCGTGACACGTTGTTAGGAGCGCAGCGCCAATTGTGTGTCAGTCCTGTGCCCAGCTCGGCCCTGTCATGTTCGACAAGGTTCGAGCGCAGCCTTCGTGCGGGTTCAGTTGCGGAAGCGGACGCGGCCTTTCCTTGCTGCATGATGCGTTCGCAGCCCTGGCACTTTGGCAGGACCAGAAAATGGAAGCCACGGCCACACAGACTGATTGGAGACTTGCTCATTTTCACACGGCGTCGGTGCTTACAACTATCATCTGCAAGGGCGGTCCGGAATATGCGCAGGAGCGCGCCAAGTTGCAGAAGGAGTTTGACTGGCGTGGGGCCTTGGCATCGTTCTGGGGCATTGGTGCTGCAAAGTCGGCTTGGCTTCACCAGTGGTGCTTTTTGTGTGTTTTTTTTGTGAGGGGCGCCGGCCAATGGTAAGTCGGTGAGTATGCATGTATATATATAAATATATATATATATATATATATCATTCATGTATCTTTATGTACACATAGATACACACACACACACACATATATATATATACATATCTTTCGGCCGCCCGCAACAGCCTGGTGTGGCCAGCCAGGGACGTTTGAGACGCGAGGCGTGCGTTTTGAAGTTCGTTGGGTAAGGTATGATGTATCCGCGCGTGGGATCCCCAATCCTGTGTGCGGGCAAGGTGCATAATAGGCGCCTTGCGCAGTATTGGACGGCAGTTTCGCCTTGCTTGCGTGTTGCGCGCGCACAAACATACAGTGTCTGATCGCACTGTCGCAGGCATGAGCATGTGCAGCTTGACACTGCGGAGCCACGCCCTGACGTGCAGGCCGAGTGTGTTTGTCTTCAAAGATTCTTCCTGCACCTTTTGAGAACAGGGCAGGCATTGTCGGCAACTGACCCGGAGTTTTGCAAGAATCACTCAAGAACAACAGACCGTGGTTTCAAATTGATAGCGACTGTGCTCGCGGTCGCTGTGACAGAGGTTGGCTTGGCACTCAGTTGGGCAGCCGTTGCAAAATCTCGTGCAGCCGCGCCGTCATGTGTCAACTTTTTGAGGGCGCTTGGCTGCCCGTAGGAGGTTCAAGCGAAAGCTGGCGCAGATCCGACGAACAAAGCCGGACGTGGAGGCGCCAATGCTTCACTTGCAGCCCCGCCATTCCGTGCTGCATTTGCGCAAGGCAAGGAAGATGCACAGGCAAGACCCGCTCAAGGGCCTCCAGAGCCTCCAAGCCTGTCCAAATTGCTAGGCTGCTGGTTTTCGGGGCGTCTCATCGCAAAGTAGCGCTATATCAGCTGCCATCTCTACAACGTGTGCCGTAGCTGCAGTTCAGCTTTGGCTGTTGCGCCACCCACTTTGTTTTTTGCAGGGCCTGGAAGTGCAAGCTGTGTCAAGGTAGCAGTGTTGCTGGCAGCGGCTATGTGGAAGGGCCTGGTGCGTGCGAAGCTGTGAAAGGAGCGAGGCAGGCAGGCAGGCAGGGCAGGCAGGCAAGGAGCTTGGTTTGCCGCCTCAGCCCTTGCAGGACAGCCGCACTTGTCAATCCCTTTGCCGTCTCACAGGCTCGCTACACAGGATCAGCTGAGATTGCCCGATGTCCGGCACGCAGGCCGCCGTCTGCATTGTCCAGTGCTCGTGCGGTGTCTGCTCGGTGCGGCTCTGAGGCGCGTTCTAAAACCGGATAAAGGCAGCTATGACCCAAATACCAAAGAGAGAGACAGAGAGCGATGTCGAGAGAGAGAGAGAGAGGCGAGAGAGGAGAAGACACAGAAGAGAAAAAGAGAGAGAACGAGAAGAGAAAAAAAGGAGAGAGAAAGAGAGAGAGGTCACAGTGCTCGCAAACGAAAGGCCTGTATGTACAAGGATGTAGCAACAGGAAAGTAGCATGTTTCTTAGCGCGCCCCCTCAGAACAAAGTACGAATGAGTGAGAAGTGGCCACCCAAAAGAGTAGATGGAAGTAGCAATCATAAACTATCCCACAGAGGTAGGGATTGGTGCAGAAAAGGTAGGGCTCCTACACAATTGGTAGAACAAGAAAGACTCCTGACAACAGTAGATGCCATTTGCACACCAACTCACAAAGACAAACAAATCAGTAGTTGCACTGGTTCTGCAGCAGTGCCTCGTTTTAGATCGTAGATCTCAGCCCTGAGTAGATCCCACGGCCTCGAATTGCGGGTTGCCTTGCAGATGGGTGTAGGGAGTGTTAGAAGCGGTAGCGGGTCATGTAGTCCCGACTCGCTCCGGAGTACCCATTGCCTTGTAGATGTAGTAGCCGTAGTAGGATGCTAGTGAAGTGATTGCTTTGTGGCAAACCTCAGACGTGTGCCGGTAGTTTGTAGAATGAATCTCGAACTTGGTAATGTTCATGAGGTTGCGCGCGTCGTCGTGAGCGTTTGGGTACTGTGTCCCACACGAAGTTGGGCCAGCAGAACTGGTTTTAGATGGTAGACATGTCCTCAAAGATGCGTCGAACCACTTGTACGAAGAACAACAACACATTGACATGCTTGACCACATAGTGGTAGAGGTAGAGAAAGCTGCCAGCATTTCTTTGAATATCAACTTCCCGTTTCAACGTTTTGCGCATTGGGTCTTCTGATTCTTGTACCTACGATTGTGTGATTGCCGTCTACTTTTGAGAGCCAGCCTCCACGATTCTTGCCCAATCTACAAGCTATGGCCACAACAATGACTCTCTGGGCAGCCGAATCCCATGACTTTGGATGGCTACAAGTCCTGGTGTGTACTTCGGACAGTAGGGATCCAAAGACTCGGAAGTAGAAATGGGTTCCCGAACAAGATGTAAATGATCGTGTATACGGACATGAATCACGTCATGTAGTAGCAAAGGAAACGTGTTTGTGCCGGCTCATGCTGGTTGTAGCTCAATTCTGGTGACACGCGTTGTTGTTTGCAGCGTGCTAGGGTTGCCGTCCAACTGCATGTAGCAGTCGGTTGAGCGTTTCGCGCGAGGTGTAGTCGGTAAAGATGTTTGCTGCGTTTTGTACAGTGTGTAGCTTATGTATGCTGATGCAACCATCGCCCGCAAGTGCCCGAGTGTAGAGAAAGCGTACGTCGATGTGTTTGTGTTTTCTTCAATGCCGTGGTAGAGCTCATTCTGCGCGCTTGACATCGTGGCGATTCCCATGGATGTCTACGGATTGGGATTGGGACTTCGGGCTTCATGATCTACGTCCTGGGCACCTCAGTGTGTTCTGGCTCAAGGACTGAGGCTACTTCCAGTCATGAGATGTAGGTTGTTGACGACTTTTAGCAAGCTCTTTTGTAGAGCACGCAATGTCTGGCCTGGTAGGATCTTCGAAGGTGTGCTTGTTTGTACAGGTTCCTGGCGTAGTAGCCGAACTACATTTGGTCCTCGATGTAGCTTTCATGTAGTTGCCACAGTTGGTGATCAGTCGTCCAAGGAAACTCTGCGTTTCACCTTCCACTTGTCCACGGTATCCTTTAGTAGAATTTTCTGCTGGGTCCACCTTGGTAGGGTCGCCGATTATCATGATGTCATCAACGTACACCACGATGAAGACGTCTGAGGCAGCATTGACATAGACGTTCGCCTCAGCAATGCGACGTCGTAGTCCTAAGTCCTTCATACTCTTCGCGAAGTGATATTGCCAATTTTTAGGGCTTGATCGCAGTCACACATCGCCTTTTTCAGTCTCACAGAGTTCTGTCATTCGGGCAGAGTCTGTCATTCGGGCAGAGCACTCCTTTGGTGGCCATAGGTAGGTGAACAGGCAGGTGATTCGAGCATGTACGAATGCTGTAGAGACATCACAAAAGCGGATCTTCCAACCTGGTGCGTGCTAGTACCAGAAGTAGCCGAAGGATGACAAATAGTGGTGTAGATGCGTAGATGCGGTCACTGTCATCAACCTTCTCGTTGTAGCTCCTTGCCACTATCCAGGACCCCATTTGCGTAAGAGTCGTCTCAGAAGGTAGACTTTCCACCGTCACTTCCCCGTAGACATCATGTAGCTTCATGTCCGCCATCTCTTTGTTCATGGCCTCTTTCAGCAGCTCATGCCTCCATCTGGGCCATCAAGATGCGCAACCTTAGTATATCTTATCGTGGACTCTTCTAACGGTCGTCGTAGAACGGAAAGCTGGCTGTTGTTGCCATAGGTCCTGAAGGAGTTGGAGCTGCAGATTGGGACGATGCCACAGTAGATGCCGATGGCTGATGAGTCAATCCTGGATCAGGTGCAGGATCCACTCTTCAGTAGTGGTGTTTGTTGAGGTTGCCACTCATAGTTGGAGGTAGTGTGAAACTGGCCTCGTGACGTTGTGGACTTCGGTGCCGAAGTCGGCCTGTAGTCGTCTAATGGTGCGTGCTTGACCTTTCTGTAGGGAGGTCTAGACGTTTCGCTGGATGTAGAGCATGCGCCCTCCAAATTTGCAGATTGCATGCTTGCAGGATCGTTCTCATGTTCTCTGGTAGGAGGTCAGTCCGTCCGAGTGGACCAAGTGGAATGAGACCCCGGGCTGCGTGTCCACCGCCCAAGGCAGAACTGGATGAGAGTTGTTGACCGTCGCTTTATATACAGAGTGTAATTCGTCGCGTAGGGCTTTAACTTGTCACAAAGGGCGTGCAAGTCCTTGTCGCCATGTTGCCGATCTTTTCTACTACGACGATGACCACGCTGTTCAGTGTGCCGTGTACTCGATGTGTGTAGACTGGCACCGTGACAGCTATGCACATCTGTGTTTGTATGTCAAGCAGTCATCACAGCCATAGACTCTGTGGTGGTAGTGCAGTACGCGAAACCTATATGACTGGTTGTCGAGACACTGTTCTTGTAGGCATCCTTGCTTCCTGAGGAATCCCGCATCTGGTCCTGGTAGTCCTGATTCGACATCCTTCTTGGTGTAAGATGGCTTGATCTGATGCACCTCATGCGTAGCGACGTCCGTTGCAAGAGTGGCGCGATAAGATTCCAGACTGCGCAGGGGATTGCCTGGTCCATGAGCAGGAACAAGCGTCTGCGTGGAAGGACATGCTTTTAGCAGTCTCAATGATGGGCTTCTCGTTGTGGTAGTAGCGGAGGTCGTGCTGACTCCACACAGAGTTGCGCAGTGGTAGTCTCGACGTTGTCCCTCGTCTTAAGTCCTGCAGCAGGGGATTGAGAGGATGCCGTACTTGCTGGTCTCCTGGTATCAGTCTTGTTTCTCCTTCTTCGTGACGTCGGGGTAGTTGTCATCGCATCTTCACCAGTAGATTTCCTCCAAGATGTGTTTTGCACAGATACGCCAGTAGTCCATTGTTGCCATGATGAGACGAGCTCCTTCATTGGCTTGTGATGTAGGAGCTTGCCCATCATCACTGCGTACTGCGCAGAGCGCAGTTCCTTGCTGTTCAACTGCCAAGCAAAGAAGGATGCTCCGCGTGGGAACCAGTCAGCGTGTTCTGGAGGACAAACACGAGTAGCTGCTCCTGGGTCAATCAGGATGTAGTCAAGTCCTAGCATTCGTGGGCTTGCAGTGTGTCGAAGTAGCGCCGTCAGGCAAGGTGTGCATGTCCTCCGATCTGGTAGGGCTGCGGCGATGTGGATGCAGGCTGCTGATTGGATGCTGGAGGTCGCGGTCGAACTCTGAATGTTGGCGTCGTCTTGGCGGTGGCCAACGGAGTGCCAGTTCGGGTCGTAGCCAACGATAGGTGTTGTCTGTTCCTCTCCTCGTAGATAGGCGCTCTGCAATCCGGTGCGTATTGCTTGTAGCATTGGGTTCCTTCACCTTTTCCTGTAGACTTTCCTTTTCCATTGTAGTTTCCTTTGTCTTTGCTTTTGCTATATTTATTTCCCTTCGAGCTGAACACGTTAGCTCTGATTTTTGTAGCCTTTTCCTTTTCCTCCTTTTCCTTTTCCTTTGCCTTTGCTTCTGCCTTTCTTTCCTTTGCCTTTGCTTCTGCCTTTCTTTCCTTTGCCTTTGTCTTTGTTCTTGCCTTTGTTGCCGTAGTCGTTGGCGCCAATGTCCATGGGTCTGGGTGTTGCTACATCCGAAGGCGCCCTTGCTGTAGTGTCCGCACGCAATTGAGCTTCTGCTGAGGTAGCTCGGTAGCACTCTATCACAATGAACCTCATCTCTTCGTAGCTGTTCCTGCGTTGAGGAGAACCGCAATCTTGAGTCCGTCAGGTGGCTCTGATGTGTTGTTGGCCTCGTGTCGAGCAAGGTCGTGCGCGCAACGTAGGAAGGTCTCCTCGAAGCTCTTGTCATCGAAATTTGGCTCGAGTAGGTGGGTCAGGCACCCAACAGATCAGTACTAGCGTACTCGCAGCACCTGAGCATACGTTGATTAGGATGTAGTGGAGGTCGTGCCACTTGCGTGTAGCGCTTTGCATAGCGTTGCCTCATCTAGTGCTGTGATAGATGCTTCCGATGATTGTAGAAGTGGAAAGTACTCATAGTGCTCCAGAGCCACGTGGGCAATGAACCTGTTCCTACTTGCGGTAGCTGACGTCGAAGAGAGGCGGCTGTAGCTTGTACCTGTGTGTTGGTGTAGCTGGGTTAAATTGCGTGTTCATGACCGCAGGCCTTGAGCTTTTCACTACATCCAGAGCCCGTGCAAAGCAGGAGTTGCGCAGACTACAGGTTTGTTTGTGGTAACAACAACACAACACTTGCACTTGTAGTAGCAGCAGTCAGAA